CTTGTGGAGTTCCTGTTCCCTCCAGGCTTTTCTATCACTGTCTACTTCCATGAGGTTTCTGGTACTCTACCCAAAGTTTGGCTATGACTCTCAGTATCGCCTTCAATACCCTGGTGGGTACTCTTTCAGAGGACCGCTGTGGAAGGCTCCTGTTCTGTTCCTTGTCTTCCCCTACTACCAATGTCTATCCTGTTTGCCATTCTGAGTGAGGTTTCAGCCTCTAGGGTCCTCCTTGTTGTTTCTTTAGAACTATAGATTTTAGTTTGTTTATCTTATATTATTTAGCTAATATCCACTTATAAGTGAGTGTATACTATTGGTGTCTTTCTGCTCTGGGTTACCTCAGTCAATATAATCTTTTCCAGTTCCTACCATTTGCCTGCAAATTTCATGATTTCCTTGGTTTTTTAATTAATTTTTTAATTTTTATAATAATTAAAGTTTATTCACTTTGTATCCCATATGTAGCACTCCTCACTCATCCCCTCCCAGCCCCATTCTCCCTCCCTATTCTCCACCCATGCCCCTCCCCGAGTCCACTGATAAGGGAGGTCCACCTTCCCTTCTATCTAATCCTAGTCTATCAGGTCTCATCAAGACTGGCTGCACTGTCTTCCTCTGTGGCCTGGTAAGGCTGCACCCCCTGATAGGGAGGTGATCAAAGAGCAAGCCACTGAGTTCATGTCAGAGACAGTTCCTGTTCCCCTTACTAGGGAACCCACTTGCGTACTGAGCTGCTGTGGGCTACATCTGTGTAGGGGTTCTAGATTGTTGCCATCCATGGTCCTTCCTTGGTTGGAGTATCAGACTCAGAAAACACCCCTGTGTCCAGATTTTTTGCTTCTGTTGCTCTCCTTGTGGAGCTCCTGTACCATCCAGGTCTTTCTATCTCCCCCTTCTTTCATGAGATTCCCTGCACTGTGCCCGAAGTTTGGTTATGAGTCTCAGCATCTGCTTTGATACCCTGCAGGGTATCAAAGATATTCAGAAGACCTCTATGGTAGGCTCCTGTCCTGTTCCCTTTTTCTCCCTCTTATTAACAAATGGCAGAGAAACATTTAAAGAAATGCTAACATCCTTAGCTATCAGGGAAATGCAAATCAAAATGACCCTGAGATTTCACCTTACACCCATCAGAATGGCTAAGATCAAGAATTCAAGTGATAACACATGCTGGAGAGGACTTGGAGAAAGGGGAACCCTCCTCCATTGCTGATGGGAATGTAAACTTGTACTACCACTTTGGAAATCAATCTGGCCTATTCTCAGACAATTAGGAATAGTGTTACCTCAAGATCCAGCCATAATACTCCTAGGCATATATCCAAAAGATACTCAAGAATACAACAAAGACATTTGTTCAACCATGTTCGTAGCAGCTTTATTTGTAATAGCCAGAACCTGGAAACAACCCAGATGCCCCTCAGTTGAGAAATGGATACAGAAAATGTGGTATATTTACACAATGGAATACTACTCAGCAATTAAAAAGAAGGTAACCATGAAATTTGCAGGCAAATGGTGGGATCTAAAAAAGATTATCCTGAGTGAGGTATCCCAGAAGCAGAAAGACACACATGGTATATGCTCACTTTTAAGTGGATATTAGACATATAATATAGGATAAACCTACAAAAATCTGTATACCTAAAGAAGCTAATCAAGAAGGAGGACTCTGGGTAAGATGCTCAATCCTCATTCATAAAGGCAAAGGGGATGGACATCGTTGAGCATTTCTTTAAGCGTATCTCTCCCATTTGATATTCCTCTGTTGAGAATTCTGTTTATCTCTGTATCCCATTTTTTAAAAAAGTTTTATTTATTTACTTAACATGTATACAGTTTTCTGTCTGCATGTAGACCTATGCACCAGAAGAGGGCACCAGATATCATTATAGATTATTATGAGCCATTATGTGGTTGCTGGGAATTGAACTCATGGCCTCTGGAAGAACAGCCAGTGCTCATTACCTCTGAGCCATCTCTCAATCCCTGTTCCCCATTTTTTTAATTGGATTAATTGGTTTATTGGTGTTTAACATTTTCAGTTCTTTATATATTCTGTATATCAGCTTTCTGCCAGATGTAGGGTTGGTGAAAATCCTTTCCCATTCTTCAGGCTGTCATTTTGTTCTTATGACAGTGTCCTTTGCTTTACAGAAGCTTTTCAGTTTCATGAGGTTCCATTATTGATTGTTGACCTTAGAACCTGTGCTGTTGGTGTTCTGTTCAGGAAGTTGTCTCCTGTGCCAATGGGGTCAAGACTCTTCCTCACTTTTTTGTCTAACAGATTTAGTGTGTCTGGTTTTATGTTGAGGTCTTTGATCCACTTGGACTTTACTTTTGTGCATGGTGATATATATGGGTCTCTTTGCATTTTCTACATGTAGACATCCAATTAGACCAGCACCATTTGTTGAAGATGCTGTCTTTTTCCCATTGTATGGTTTTGGCTTCTTTGTCAAAAATCAAGTATCCATAGTGTGTGGGTTTATTTCTGTGTCTTCTATGCGATTCCATTGATCAACCATTCTGTTTCTATGCCAGTACCATGCCAGTTTTATTACTATTTCTCTGTAGTACAGCTTGAGATCATGGATGGAGATACCTCCAGGCGATTTGTTGTTGAACAGGATTGTGTTGGTAATGTTGAGTCTTTATGTTTTTTCATATGAAGTTGAGAATTGTTCTTTCAAGTGCTATAAAGAATTGTGTTGGTAATTTGATGGGAATTGCATTGAATCTGTAGATTGCTTTTGGCAGGATTTCCATTTTCACTATGTTAATCCTACCTATCCATGAGCATGGGAAATCTTTCCATCTTCTGATATCTTCTTCAATTTCTTTCTTCAGAGACTTGAAATTTTTTTTCATACAGGTTTGTCACTTGCATTGTTAGAGTCACATCAAGGTACTTCATATTATTTGTGGCTATTGTGAATGGTGTAGTTTCCCTAATTTCTTTCTCAGGCTATTTGTCTTATAGGAGGGATTCCAATTCTTTAGAGTTAATTTCATATCCAGCCACTTTGTTGAAGGTGTTTATCAATTGAAGGATTTCTCTGGTAGAATTTTATGGATCATCTTCCTCAGGGGATGGTGCAGCCATGCCAGGCCACAGAGGAAGATGATGCAGCCAGCCCTGGTGAGACCTAATAGGCTAGGGTCAGATAGAAGTGGAGGAGGGCCTCTCCTATCAGCAGTCTAAGGAAGGGGCTCAGGAGAAGATGGAGGGTTGATGGGACTAGGAGACAAGGGAGGGAGCTACAGCCAGGATAAAAAGTGAATAAATTTAATAAATAAATAAATTTTAAAAAAGAAAGAAAAATATATTTTAGATTGTTATCTTTTCCTTATGTTATTATCTCTTTATGTTAATATTGCATGTGATAACTAATACATTATAGATCTATAATTAATAAAAATTATTATATATATTGTTTGTGCATTTCTAACTTTAAAATCAGAATAATGCTACTGTTCTTTTAATCTGGAGACTAAGGCTTGAATTAATTATTATCAGAAAGCTTTTATTTATTTAATATTTATTTCTTTTGTTTTACCTATATGAAGGTTTTACTTTCATGTATGTCTGTGTACCCACTAGCGTGGCACATCAGAGAAGGCAATGGATCTCCCAGAACTAGAGTTACTGGTAGTTTTGAGCCACCATGACATTGCTGGGAATCTATTTTGCAAGATTTAAAGGTACTCTTAAGGAGTGATCCATCTTTCCAGCCCATATCTTGAAACTTAAAAACAAACAAACAAAAAAAAGAATATCAAACATCAATGTGTACCTGAGTTGGTGAGAGAATCAGATATTTGGCTCTGGTGATTAGGATGAATCCATTCCTCTACTGGAATAAGACCTTTAGGTAAAAAAAGAAGTGTAAATATAAAATGTGTGACTTATGGTGTCATGTTCATGGGGATGTTATAACATGGTCATTTCCACTGGTTTCTGCATTATTTCTACACATGTATGCATACATTTCTATATGTGGAATATGCAAATGAGCTTGAAAATATAATTGCGCACTCTGTTGCTCACAAGAATCTGAGTCAGTATAGTCATTTTCTATTTCTCTACCACAAAGCTGATTTAAATGTACTGAATAAAATAAGTACAGTAATAAATTGATCATGGTAACTGGGCCAAATGACTTATATAATCACTAAAGATAAGACTGTTGAGTAAAACTGTAAAAAACAATGTGTGGATACTAGCAATGTATTGCACTTGGTACCTTGTTTTCCACTGCATGGGAAGGAATCTCTTTTAAACAGAAATTCACAAGCAGCATCAGTATAGGGTCATATTCAAGAGGCTCATGTTTGTCATAATGTGTGGAAAAGAGTAATCGTCTTAATGTCACATCTTCTCTCTTGTTGAAGGCTCCTAGCTCCACATCTGAAGATGCGACTATATAGCCTGTAGTAACTATGGAAACTGGGAAAGTAAAACAGAACCATTGCCAGGATAGGGGTAATGATGTGATCAATAGAGATCGGAAAAAAAGTATCTAATGAGAGAAATGGGAAAGACAAAGCTCCTTAGGCAGAGAGGAGGAAGGGAAATAGAGATGACTGTGGGAGAAAGGTAAAGGTGATACAATTAATCAGATAGAGAAATTGAGGAGATGTATGGATTATTAGGTAAGGATGAGGAAGATAAATACAACAGAAGGAGGAAGTTAGGTAAAATCAATAGGATTAATTTTCCAAGGCATGAGACTCGGGTTCAATAAAGTATGAATTTTGTGTAGAATGGGAATGCATTTATTAGCTATTATATGCTATTTATACAGAAGATACATGGAAGATATATAGAAATGTAAACTATGATATACAGTCTGGAAAATCAAAAGTTAAAGACACAGTTAATCAAGAATTAGTAGGGAAAATAGAATGTTGATAAAGACATACTGTCCAGGGAGTTCCAAATTTGATGTCTGATTTTTTTTTTCAGATATAAGAAATATTCTTCCACTGTGTTCTTAAGATGCATACACTTCTCACTTATGTCCTCATTAAAGAGTGTCCTTCATTTCCAAGCTGGGCTTGGAGTTTTGGCCAATATGTTTCTCCTTTTTCTCTATACTTTCATAATCGTAGGTCACAGACCTAAGCCCGTGGACCTGACCTACTGTCAACTGTCCTTTGCTCACCTAATGATGGTCTTCACTGGAGGGGACATGTGGCTTACAGACATATTTGAGTCACTGAACGTTGAAAAAGACGTCAAATGTAAGACAATTTTTTACATAAGCAGGGTAATGAGAGGCGTCTCTATCTGTATCACATGCCTCCTGAGTGTGTTCCAGGCTGTCACTATTAGTCCCAGTAACTCCTTGATGGCAAAATTTAAAAATAAACTAAAAAACTACACGATCAATGCTTTCTTCTTTATTTGGCTATTCAATTTGACCTTCAGTGGCAGACTTATCTTCTATGTTGGTGGTTTTACCAATGTGAGTGAGACCAACCAGATGAAGGTCACTAAATCCTGCTCACTCTTTCCTAGAAACTACATAATCAATGAATTAATTGTAATAGTGACTGTCTTCAGAGATGTGTTTCTTATAGGGGTCATGCTGACCACAAGTGCATACATGGTGATAATCTTGTTCAGACATCAGAGGCAATGCAAGCATCTTCATAGCATCAGCCACCTGAGAGCATCCCCTGAGAAAAGGGCCACCCAGACCATCTTGCTGCTGGTGGTTTTCTTTGTGATCATATACTGGGTGGACTTCATCATCTCATCTACCTCAATCCTAGTATGGAAGTATGACCCATTCATTCTGACTGTTCAGAAGTTTGTCATGAATGCCTACCCTGCAATTACTCCTTTGATACAAATCAGTTATGATAAGAGAATAATAAGAATGCTGAAAATCTTGCAGGCAAAATGCCACTAGATTTTTTAAAGACTTTTCCTCTTCTTTTAAAAATGATTCATTCATTTTCATTTATATGTATGAGTTTGGTGCCAATATGTATGTATGTGTGCATTCCTGGTGTGCACAGAGGTCTGAAGAGGTCCAGGGATCAACCAGAACTGGGGATTCAGAAAGGTATAAGTGCCATGCTGTTGCAGCAAGTGTAATATTTTTCTGAATTACAGATTCATTTTAAATTTCATTTGTCCAAGTGGGAAAGTGAAATTTTTATATGATTTCTTTCCTAAATTTTATTTATGAATGAATAGAAAACATTCCACAGCAATGTGTCTTAATCCTCCTCCTCTTCTTCATCCTGGTTAATCTGGAAGTAATGCAATTCATAATTTTCTTTGCTCTTGGCAACAACACACAAGCAGGCTTGAAGATTGTTCTTCAAATATTTTTGGTGAGATATTTCAAATAACGTTTGGAGAAAGGCACCTCAGAAGTAAGAGTGATCTTGTTCTTGCTCCATTTGATGGTCACAACCCCTCTGCCAAGATTCCCAGCTTTCCCTTTCTCCTTGATCCTCTCCTGGAGGACCTGCTCAAAACTGGCAGCATCCATAATTCCACCTTCTACAGGATGGGTGCAGTCAAGGATAAAATTAAAAACGTGCTTCTTCTTCTTTTTTTTTTTTTTTGCCCCCTACTTGCCACAAGCTTTTTCACAGTTGCCATGGCAGCAGAGGAGGACTTTCATATGATTTTTAAATAATTTGTGTTATTACATATATACATTCTTTTGACATTGTGCTGCCAAGCAATATAAAGTTCTTAAGTTGATTGTACACTATAAGCTGATATTTCCACATGAATTCTCTTTCTCCCTTTTTTTATATCATAAAATTGTCCTTGATGTTGAGGTTACTTAAAAGACGCTCTTTGCTGAGAGTGACCTTTTAAGCCTTTCTGTAGGAAACATTTTAATTTACTCTTAGTCACCAAAAGTAGTATAAGAGTAGCATTAATCCTGTTTACTAATTAAAATTTCTCTGGATTATAAAAATAATATGAACATAAATTTACTATTTTTACCACAGTTACTCAAAGATTCTTATAAGAAAATCCTCTGCTTCATTTAATCTACATTTATTGAAATATTATTAGTAAATAAATTGAAATTATTTACGTACACATACATGATGTACAACATGGTTTTGTGAATGGGTGCATGCTGTGATGTATGTCCACAAATGAAGGATATGTGTTTATGTACACATGGAGGCTAGGCGACATTATCTCCTGTTCTTCAGAATCTTTAGCCTCCTGTTTTGATAGAGTGTCTCTCGCTGTACCTGGGGCTTACCACATAGGTCCAGATGGTTGCCCCATGGATTCTCTTGTCTCTGTCTCTCTGGCTCTGAGATTACAAGTGTTCACCACCATTCCCTACAGTTTAAAAACTATGTTTTTCTTCTATTGAAAAAAGTTTTTTTCATACAATGTATTTGATGAGATTTCCCCGTTTTTTAGTCCTCCAAGTTCATTCTCATCTCCTCTTCCACTTAGATCCACACACTTTCTGTCTTTTGTAGGAAACACACAGGCCTGTAAGCAAAAATAGGAAAGTGAGAACAATTAGTCTCATAATAGGGGTATTTCAGGCAAAGGGAGGACTCTTGTCAGAATAAGGGAGTTGAAGTGGGTTATTTTCACTATTTGAGGTCCTTCTCCAGTGTTTGGACTGACTGGATCTGTGTCTCCACAAGGCCAGACCCTTTGATAGCTAGGCTTTGCAGGATCATCTGATGTGAGGGATGTAAAGGAAGCAGATGAAGAAGTCTGTGAGGCTGGATCATCTGGGCCTATCCACTTTGAAACTCTCTTAGATGTAGATTTTAAGGAAACACCTAGATTTGGCAGGGTATTGGAACAAATGTGTACATTAGGAGAAGAAGATAAAGTTACATAGGCTAGGGAAAAAAAACAAAAACAGCCCCTTAAGAAAAAATGTTGCCTCACAGCTGGAACAAAGACCTTCAAAGACCTTTTTCAAGAAGAAGCCAAAACTGCCCCAGAGATCTTTCAGGTTGTTGAATTAAGCATTGAGAAAAACAGTAACTCCTGTGTCACCCCAGGCACAAGGCTTGAGTGAGGAGACTCCTATTCTCACAATGCTCCAAGGGGAGAGAGGAAAAAACATTTCTGTTCCACACAGACACAGAGTTCATTGAATACTGAGAAAAAGTTTGTTAGAACTCAAAGGTTCTTCAGAGGTGAGAGGAGCTCTATGGAGATTGCTTCCTGCAGGAAAATGGACAGTGCTTCAAGCTGGGTGCTTTTGAGAAGCTCTGTAAGGCAGAGACTCCAAGATGTTGTACATTTGTGTTTCCCCAGAAGAATTTACAGCAAGCAGTCAAAACTCCCTTTTTTGTTTTAATAAAAGAAGAATACATCTTTCTGAAGTAATGCTAGAGCAATGTCCCGTTTCTGCTGGCTCAGATTTAGCAAAAAAACTGACACTTGATTAAATGGCATACCTCTCCCATGAGCCAATATTTAATATTTGTTATGATACATTTGCTTTATTATCAGTTTCTATAGCAAATAAAGTCAAGTACATTAGCAGAAAATTTTTTCCTAAGTGTACATTTGAAACTTTTAGGCCCAATGTCTTGGTACCTGGGAGAGGAGATTTCCAAAAGCAGCAAAAAAGAAGGGAAGAATCCACTCACTGCAACAGGCAATAGGTGGAGAACCTTGGGCTGTTGATTGACAGGGACAGTTATAGACTTTCAACAAAAATTAATCAAAAGAGATGGGAAGGACACTTCATACTCATCAAAGGAAATATCGACCCGATGACATCTCAGTTCTGAACATATATACAACACATTCAAGGGCACCCATATTTGTAAACGAGAATTACTAAAGCTTATATCATGCATTGAACCCTATACATTAATAGAAGGAGATATCAACACACCTCTCTCACCAATGGACAGATTGATTGAGATGTAAATTAAATAGAGAAATAATGAAACTAACATGAGTGAATTGGACCTAACAGGTATCTGCAGAACATTCCATCCAAACACAAAAGAATAAACCTTCTCAGCATATCATGGAACCTTCACCACATACTCAGACACAACGCAAGCCTCAGAAAATATAAGAAATTTAAAATAACATCGTGTATTCTATCAAACCACTGTGGATTAAGACTAGACTTCAACAACAACAGAAACAATAGAATGCCTACAAAGTCATGGAAACTGAATAGCTCTGTACTTAATGACCACGAGGGTCAAGGAGTAAATAAAGAAAGAAATTAAAGACTTTCTAGAATTCAATTAACATGAAGGCACAACATAGCCAAACTTATGGGACACAATGAAAGTAGTGCTATGAGGAAAGTTCATAGCACTGTGCCTTCACAAAAAATAGTGGAGAGAGTTCACACTAGCAACTCAGTAACTCATCTGAAAGCTCTCAAAAAAATGAAGTAAACGCACCCAAGAGGAGTTGACTGCAGGAAATAATCAAAATCGGGGCTGAAATCAATAAAATAGAAACAAAGCAAACAATACAGAGGATCAAAAAACAATGAGCTGTTTTGTTTTGTTTTTTGAGAAAATCACAAGATAGACAAACCCTTAGCCAAAACTACCTAAAATACAAAGGGAGAATATCCAAATTAATAAAATCAGAAATTAAAAGGGGATCTAACAACAGACTACAAGGAAATCCAAAGAATCATTAGATTGTACATCAAATACCTGTATGCCACAAAATTGTAAAATCTAAATGAAATTGAAAATTTTCTTGATAGATACCACTTGTCAAAGTTAAATTGAGATCATATTAACAATTTAAATAAATCTATAATCCCAAGGAAGTAGAAGCAGTCACCAAAAGCCTCCCAACCAAAAAGAACCGTGAGTTAAGTGGTTTTAGCCCCAAATTCTACCAGAATTTCAAGAAGAACTAATACCAATATTCCTTAAACTGTTCCACAAAATAGAAACATAAGGAATATTGCCAAATTCACTCTATGACGCAACAGTTATCCTGTTACACAAACCACACAAAGTCCCCCCAAAAAAGGAGAATTTCAGATCAATCTTCCTTATGAACATTGATGCAGAAATATTCAGTAAAATGCTTGCAAACTTAATCCAGGAACATATAAAAAATATCATCCTATCATCCACTATGATCAAGTAGGCTTCATCCCAAGAATGCAGTGATGGATCAACATATGAAAATCCATCAACATAATCCATCATATACATAAACTGAAAGAAATAAAATGCACGACCATCTCATTAGATGCTGAAAAGGCCTTTGACAAAATCCAATACTTCTTCATGTTAAAATTCTTGGAAAGATTAGGGATTCAAGGCCCATACCTAAACAAAATAAAGGCAGTATATAGCAAGCCAATAGCCAACATCAAGTTAATAGGAGAGAAATGTAAAGCATTCTCATTAAAATCAGAGACAAAGCAAGGCTGCCCACTTTCACCATATCTCTTCAATTCAGTACTGGAAGTACTAGCTAGAGCAATAATACAAGTAAAGAGGTCAAGGGGATAGAAATTGAAAGAAAAGTATCACTATTTACCGATAACATGATAGTATAAGTATGTGACCCCAAAATTTCTACCAGAGGACTCCTACAACTGATAAACACCTTCAGCAAAATGTCTGGAAACAAAATTAACTGAAAAAGTCAGTATCCATTCTTTATACAAGTGACAAGAGGGCTGAGAAAAGAATTAGGGGAACAACACCCTTCATAATAGCAACAAATAATATAAAGTATCTTGGTGTAACTCTAACCAAGCAAGTGAAAGACCTGCATGACAAGAACTTCAAGTCTTTGAAGAAAGAAACTGAAGAATATTTTAGATGATGCAATGATCTCCCATTCTTGTGATTGGGTAGGATTAACATAGTACAAATGGCCATACAATGTAGAAAAGAAACCTTTTTTAACAAGTGGTGCTGCTCTAACTGAATGTCTGCATGT